GATTTACAGGTGAACATTAATGGTAACAACACCTATGTGGGATTCTTCTTTGCGAAACAGCCTCCTGTCGGCTGTCCGGCAACGTTACAAATGTATTTCGTAATGTGTTTGATACATTATTCATCGCCCATTATTGGTAAACTTCGATCCTATACATACAATCGTAGCGATATTTATGTTGACGCGTAAACTTATCACAAATTTTTATGTATTATATTTTATTCTTTTTTTTGTTTTTTTTTTTGTTTTTTTCTTTTTTTTTTTTATTTGTTTTATTTATTTATTTTTTTTTCTTTTTCACGTGCAACGGCGATTTCTAATCGTTGATTGCTAATCAACGGAACTTAAAGCTATTGTTTAAAAATTTGAATTTCAAATAAAGTATCGTTAACGAAAAGTAAGTCGAGACAGATATTATTGGCTCAAATATCTTTTATGCTTCATCGACTTATAAGTTCAAATCGTTATATATAAAAATGATATATATTATATATATATATATATATATACACACATATATGTATATATAGTACAATAAAAGTAGATACTGATTTCTATTAATCGCATTGACACATTAAACGTAATTACTAAAATATTGCGTTATAATTTTTTATTCACGCACGTCGTCCTCCAAAAGAAAAATGATCAAAAATTTTTGTCTCATCAACATAAATACCGGACCGGCTGTACAATAAACGGATATACAAAACATCGTATCGTACAAAATAGTAGCATTAATATCACCGTCAGTTTCGTTCCCACGCGTTCCTTTCCCTTGTGTATACGGTAACAACAATATTGAAATTGTTATCGTGCAAACGATTTGTCCGTATGCTTCAGCTACATTTCGAGGTAAGTGTGGTAAATGTTTGTATTTATGCGAAAACATCCCTTTTTTCCCCCTTCACCCTCCTCCCTACCCGATCTCTTTAGGCTACGCGATAACTTGAAATTTTATTTTTGTTTTCCAAATCGTCTAAATCGCGTTTGCTAAAATTCCAATCGAATCAATTAAACGAACGGACAATTCTTTTTTTTTTTTTCTTTAAGTACACGTTCACGTGTTATAACACCAAAAATTGTCAAAATAAGATTTTTGTAAAATCGGAAAACGATTATCGCGATACGATGATAATTTTAAGATAGTTTATCGCTTAATTCACGGGAAATAGCGTCAGCTCGTTTTTAATTATATAGTCAATAATGTCGTACCGTACCGAGGGACTATAATGAAGGTTACAATAAAAAGTATAATAAAGATTGCTTTTGTATATATCTATGTTTGTATAT